GTGGAGGCATGGGGCAAGTTGCAGGGGGCTTTTTCCTCCCCTCTCACAATATTGTTAAATTTAGGACTGGCATAAGGAATTAAATAACTCTCTACAAGGGAAATTTAGGTTGGATATTAAGAACAACCTTCTGGCCACATCCAAACATATGGTATGTGGTATGTAGTTCTGCAGACACGTCTGTGGTGCCACATACTACATGTTCAACTGTTCTCCGCACTGCAAGGCAGCAGTGCAGGGCAGGGGGTTGATCCTTGAATATCCAGGGGTTAAAAAAACCCACGCAAAAGAAAAGCTGAGTGGTGCACATGGGGACAGTGTAAGCCTCTCAAAACAAGAGCCTGGCCAGCCAGAGATGCACTGCAGCTGCCAACCAGGCTTCCAGCAGCAGGATCACCACTACTGCAGCCCCAGGAGGCCCCCAAGACCCCAAGTAAGGCTGCTGGGGACAGGCCAGTGCTGGCCCCAGCCTCCCCTACTCCACCAGGGGTAGCCTGCTGTGCACCAGAGATTGCATGGCACGTGAGTTCCCTGGGGACAATTAGCAGGGGCACAAGGTGCACTACTGCCAGTTGTTCCTGGGGAACCAAAGGTCCATGGTTGTCTGGACATGGCCTCTCACTCTGAAGGTGGTTAGGCATTGGAACAGGCTATTGATAGAGCTTGTGGAATCTCCATTCTTGGAAGTTTAAAAGCAAGTTAGACATCCACTTGACTAGGATGGTTTAACTCAAGGATAAACCTGCCTTGAGCAGTGGGCTGGACTAAATGATTTCCTGAGGTCCCTTCTAAGCCCATTTTTCTACAATTCTACTAAAAGGCACATTATACATACACAAAAAAAGAATGGATCATTTTTTTTGTTTTACAAGATGTAAGTGTGACAATACCTACTAATTACGCCAATTTTTCTTTTACAACAAGTTTGGCAACCATTGATCCTTCCAGATCATGGTGTATGCACGAGAGGTCACCCAGACCTTTGATGCACATGCCTAAGCAAGAGGTTTTTTGGGAGAGGAATAGAAGCTGCTCAGACCTTCCATCTCCCCTTTAGGGCACTGAGACAGAATCCAAAGGCCAGACTGGGTCCAGATGTTTGGTACCTCCATGAATGTATTTGTATAAGTGTGAAGGAATTGAACCCAGGGCTCCTGTGTGACAGGCAAGGATTCTACCACTGAAGCACAGGACACTCCTTTACCACAAGTATAACAACAACAAATCTGCACACCAAAAATGTTTATTATTATTTTTAAGAATATGTTGCATTTATTTCTTTGTCTGGTTGACTTATAGCATATTTCTTTACAAAGACCTATCTGCAATTAGGAATCATTTTAAATTCAATTATTTTCAGATGGCTGATAACTGATTTTTAGAGCTAGGTAAAACCAGTTAGTTAAAATGAACGATATATTACTTGTTTATAATCTAATACTGTCGCAGGATAAAATAGCACATTCATCTAAATTGGCAAGAACAGATGGTTTTTCAAACTGATCTAGAAAGGATAATGAAACACAGACTTTAAGTATGACTTGGCTACTGGAATGACATTTCAAACTGCACACCTCAAATCCATTCAAAATGCTGACCTGTGATAATGGTGGCACCTATCAATAATTCTGGCCTCTTTTACAGGTTTGTCCATTTCTCCCAAAACTACCTTTTTAATGCTACCCTTTGTATGTGGAATACCTTTCCTAGATCAGTTTGAACAGCCACTGTCTTGTGCACTTTCAAATCCCTCCACAAGACCCATCCCTACTGCAGTACTCATGGTTAGGGACCTAGCTATTTTGTGAGGCCTGCCCCCTGATCGCACAGGCAGACTGTGGGCCCAGACAGCCATTTGATGGGTGGAGTACAGCAGGCCCCACCATGCCTCTGATTGACCGAGGGGCCCCTCACCACTGACTGGATGCAAGGACTGCCTGTCATGTGGCCTTGCCCCTCATCGCTGACTGGATGCAAGGGATGTCTGTCATGCAGGCCCACCCCTCCCCAACCACTGGAGTGGTGTGGGGCACATGGCATGCAGGTGTTCAAGCCTGAATGCCATGTGGCCCCACACCACTGTGGGGTCACAGAGGGGTGGGGGCAGCAGTCATCTTGCTGGCAACCCTTTGAGCGGGCAGTCCCGGCACCCCTGCTTCCCCCTCAGCAGCACTCAGTACATTTTTTTTTCCCCTGCAGATTTTATAGGTTCTGCAGGCATTGCCCAGATTTTGCAGGCAATGCCAGATTTTGTGGAATCTGTGAAATCTGCAAAATCACAAGTTCAGTAGATCCCTACTTATAGTAAATGGCTATGGAAGTAGCCTGTGGAAGATCCACTTATTGCTCTTTACAACTTATCTTATTAATGAAAACTTTAAAAATTGTAAATGATAATACAACACTTAAAATAACACACAAATATGTGTCACAACTGCTATCACCCTTCTGTCATCATTGTGTTTTAGAAGACATGGTATATCTTGACTCTAACTTGAGCATAATCTCACCAGGGCAGAGGCTGTCTTTTACAATTGTACAATGTCTAGCAGAATAACATACTCAATAACCTGCTTATGTATATACATCTTAGCTGTTAAACTCCTAAAGCAAGTCATCAGTGTGTAGTGCTGCAAAACTATGAATTGATGAGTTTGATATGCCTGTACATCACAAATAAGAATTATGAAAAGTCCCGGAGTCACAGAAACGGGGTGGAAGAGAATAAAAAGATAATAACAATAAGACCTACTTGAAACTATTTAAGTTTCTGAAGGTTTCAAATCATGAATTTTTAAACATGTACTTATTCGTTTTAAATTATATACATATATAATGGTTTTTACTTATAAATACCACTAAATAAAAATAATGTATTTCATAGCTTCACAAAAGGTTGTGAAAATATTAAATGCTTTTTAAAATCCCTCAACACTAAAAAAAAAAAAAAAATAAAAAAAAAAATCAATAGCTTTTACAATAAAAGATACCCTCTTTATCACACATGGTAAATTAAAATTAGAAGTGAAACACTGAAGAATAAAACCTACAAAAGAACAGCTACCCTTGCATCCAAATCACCGGAAAAGATGTTGCAATGGTAAATGTAGCAGTGCACCTTTGGTGCCTGCCACTTTAAGGGCAGGAGCAGGCAGCTGCCAGGGGCGTGATGAGGGCGGCCATTTTCAAACATAGGCCAGAGAGGCAGCAGTCTGTGTTGAGCAGCCAAGGAGGCAACATTGGGCTGAACTGTTCCTAGAACACCTTGGAGGTAAGGGTGAAGCTATGGGGATGGAGGAAGCCTCAGTGGTCCTGGACATCACCTGAAACCATACCGTTGGGATAGGGAGGCCCGGTTGGACTGCCAGTGGCATGGCAGCCCCACTTAAATACCAGACCCTGAGAGAGCAGGGGTGTTTCTGGGCCCACCCAGAGATGGGTGCATCTTCATGACCTGAATTTGGGTTTGAGATGGGCTGAAGGGACAGCAAAGTTGGTCCTCCATTTGGTGAACTGGCTGGTTCTTGTCATGACCCAAAAGGCATGATTGTGTGTGTGTGTGTGTGTGCGCTTCGGCACCAGAATTATCCCCGTCAAGTTGCAGAGCATTGCACGGGAGAGTTTCCTGTAGCAGAGGAAACCCCGGTGCAGGGACCAATTCCCGCCTTTTCTGCAGCTTCTTTTGCAGAGTGCATTGCTCATGTTGCAAGAGGAATGCACGGTGCAAAAGGGTTCCCGCTACCGGTATGCAAATTCGTTCCCCGCTATTGGCTAGTTCTAAAATGATTCCCACGTGGCGGCTAACGATTGGCCTGTTAGCTATATAAGAGGCTTGAGCAGTTTCCACCCAAGCCGAAGAGGACTCCACATCCATCTCGTGGGGAATCTGGATATACGGCAGGGTAATAGAGACCCTGTGTGAGATTCAGAGGAGCTTGGTGACCTGATCCATCGCCCACCTCTTCCCGTCTTCGATCACAAATTTTATAAGACGTATCTCCGATTTCGATTTTGGTGGTGCGTTCACCCAGAGCATCCGGAGCTCTGTTCCGCGTTGTTTGTCTGTAACTGCAACTTAATCAAGCTTTCCAGCCTACACCACTGCCATCTTGGTGTAAGTAAACAATCTTTTAAACTACCGCTACGCGTCCGTGCCTAATTCCAGCTCGAAGGCCTTCCCTCTCCGCCCCGGCGTGCCCGGGCTGCTGGCCACAGCCCGCGTGCAGCGCGAAAAGGGCTCGGGTCACTCCCGGCCCGCACAGTACTATCCAGGTGAGGGTTGTGGGAGAAGCCCAAGAAACTGCATGTCGCCAGCCAAGGTGTGAATCAGATAAGCCTGATGGCCGGAAGGGTCACTCCAAGAGACAGCAGGGCAGAGTGGAGGGGGGGCCATCTTGAATCATTGGGGGGGGGGGGGGGGGGGGGTGTGTGAGAGAGGCCTGGTGGAGGATGAGGTTTGGTCCGGCTTGTGGCCAGGAGTATGATAACATCGTGGATGCCATCTCCAAGGCATGGCCACAGTGTAGGGGAGGTACAGAGCCAGGAATAGAACCCCCTGGCATCGGGGCATAGAATGGGCAGCCTCCTGCATTTACCACCAGTTAATTGTAATAGCAACGTTGTGGCAGGAGAGACTAGGTGGACTGTACTATATAGACAGGTGGGTAGGCTGACTGGAGACTTGGCCCTGAGCTTTCCCCTGTCACAGTAAAGAGGGACCAATTAAAATAATTTGCCAAATAGCTGTGTTATTGTTTTTCAGAGTACAAAACAGAATAAATGTGGGGGGATTTATTAGCATTTGGTAAAAAATAATTTTACTAGAAAGAAACAAATGTAATTCCAAACATACCCCTAAATTGTAGTAACTAAGACACTGATCAAAACTGTAGAACAAGAAGTAAATAGTAAGATAAAAATAGTTAATACTATTGTGAATGGGTGGGTAGAGAATGGTCTCCAACAAATAAGAGGAAAAAAATACTAAAAGTCAAACTTACCTAGGGTTCTACATGCAAAAAGAGCCATTGCGCTCTGAAGTCGGTCTGGTCTGACAGCCTGGACCACCAGGACCTTAAAATCAAGTATATTTAGGAGGATTTGAGGACATTAGAAGAACCATTACATTGTAAAAATTATACATAAGAAAAGTAGCCTTTAAAAAAAAGTGATTCTTCTAAAAAGAACTGTATTTAAAGTTTCTCTTTAGAACAGGCTTATCTGTTTTCTTGTACATTCATTAAAAATGATTCAGTTTTCAAGATAACCAGATAATATAATGGTTCCTTTTTTTTGTATATCCTGATGTAGAGAAGCAACAGAAGGTTTATACCTTACATAAGCTCTACCCATAAAGCTGGTATCCTACAGATACGATTTGGACAGTGCGACCAAAAACGATACTTTCTTTTGCTAATCTGCACCTCATCTGCATACAATATAAACATCCTTCTGTCCATTTTTGGGGGGGAACAGAACAATTTCTATGTATATATCATGATAAACTAATCAAGGTCATATATTTATAATATTATCACTTTCATCTGGAATTAATGGAGTACAACTGAATCATTGAGTATATATTTCAGTATGTTTACATGCAAAGTACCTCAGTTGACATTTATTTTGTGACTGTAGTATTAACAGCTCTGTTTAATTACTATGATTACACTAAAATTAACATAAAAAAATCAATTTTAAAAGCATCTGCTTGGTTAAAGATGTAAAAGCTCTGTAACCTCTTTGGCTAGGGACAGTCAGTCAAAAAGCCCAAGGCAGAATTTATTCAATCTTTGCAGGTTTCTGTTAACTGCTTAGACTGAACCAATAAGAAAGTGAACTCACGTTTGCTTTTTAAAAGTGAAAGGGAGTCAGATCCTGCAATGGCCTGCTGGCCAGTGGGGAGATGGGTGATTCCCCAGCCACGCCCCCTCTTTAGCCTCCACTCAGCTGAGGAGGGGGCAAACCTACCACCAGACCTCCAGCTGGGGTCTCCCCAGCTCTGGGGAATGGGGATGAGGAAAGCCCTCAGTGGGGTGTTTTTCCCTCTCTCCCTGTGCCCAGAGCTGATCCCCCTGGCCATGCCCCTTCCTCAGTCCAGGGAGGCTGAGGAGCAGGCCTTGGAGGAAACCCAGCCCGGCCCCCCTGGTCTGCCAGCCAAGAAGGAAGCATGGCCAGGTGATTGGCCCAGCTCTCGGATGCTAGGAAGCCTACAGTGGGGGCTTTACTCCCCCGCCTGAGCCAGGAGTTGGTCCATTCACTGGGCCACCCCCTCTGCTCAGCTAGCAAGCCAGCTGAAGAGGGAGTGGGGGGACAGCCCCCCACCCCCCCACACCTGGCTTTGGGTCTTCAGCTAGGCTGTGCCTGGCACAGGGGGTGGGAAGCCCCTAATGGGGGCCATTTTCCTCCCCACTCCCTCCTCAGCTGGCCCGCTGGCTGGGGAGGGGGCATGGCCTGGTGATCACCCTGGCTCCTGGCTCAGGAGGGACTGCAGGCTTCCTTGCAGCTAGGAGCAGGACCAATCACCCAATGATATTTGTTCTCCAGCTGGCAGACTGGCTGAGAAGGGAGTGGGAAGGAAAAATGGCAACTTCCTCCCACTCCCTCTCCTACCCTCATTCCAACCCCTGCTGCCGTCCCTGGAGCCACCGAGTGAGCATGGCCCCTGGTGCCCCCATTTCAGGGGAACCAGCTCAGGAGGTCAGAGCACCGGCTTCCCAGTGCCTCCTGGAGAGAGCTGCAGCCTGGGACATCGTCCCCACCAAGGAGGTTTGTGTGTAACTTCTGACCCTAGCTTTTATCTAGAGCCATTATTTCTCAACTAGGCTGCCATAGTGGTAGGCTGTGAGATCTTTAAGGGTGGTACAGTATTAGATGATAGGTTTCAAAACATGTACATATGATTCACAAGATAAAACCAGAGATTTCAACTAGGAATCCACAGTTTCAAGGGCTAGGGACAGAAGTTCCACATAAACCAGCCTAGGTGATCAGAAACTGGTTTAAACCTGTAACAGAACATAAGTTCAGTGCATATAAATCAGTTTCAAAATGGCCAAAACTAGTTTTAGATAAACCTGGTTGAATGCAATATCAGATTTAACTGATTTGGGTCAAACTGGTTTATGCAACTTCTATCTCATATCACTTCCTGGTTTAAAGTTAAACCAGAGTCCCCCAGGATCCCAGCAAGCTTTTCAGCCCTGGGCTAGGCTGTGCTGTCTGCTCCAGACAACAGGGCTGGCCCCACCCTTGCTGTCTAGCCACAGCAGGGGCAGGCGTGTGGCCAGACGCAGGTCTGGCATGGCCCCGAGTCAAAGGGAACAGGGAGGTGGTTTACTCCCCCCCACCAAGGGACTGCAACCAGGGTCTGCCTAGCCAGGGTGTAGCAGCTCCTGTCAGGCATTCCTTCATCACTGCTTATGCCATGGCAGGGGGGAGGGGTCATAGCCAGAGCTGGCCAGCATGGCCCTGCCATCCTCCTGCCTGGCCCACAGCTGGGCCTGGGACTGTGTTGGGCTGGCCTGCAGGTGCTGCTGAGGGCAGACACAGGCCAGCAGGCTGGGCCACAGGAGTCAGACCCTTCCCAGCAAACTGTGTGGCCAAATTGCTCCTGGCTCCCCATGCTCAGGCTGCGTGGGGCTGTCATGAAGCTGAAGCCAGCTGGGAAAGGCCCAGCAGGGCTGGCCTGGGCAGGGCCCTTTCCAGCCAGCTGCAGCTCTGTGACCGTCAGGCATCGTGGTGGCTGGTTGGGCAGTGGGCTTCCTGCCTAGGCTGGCATGGAGGCGCTGGCAATCCCAGTGCCCAGTAGCCACCTGCTGCAGCCACCACCATGCCCCCTGTCCTATGAAGCACCTGGCAACTGCAGCTGCTCCTCAAGCTGCACACTGGTAGGGCTGTTCTGCCTCCTTAGCCTCCAGCTGCGACTCCGCCCTCTGCCGCTCCTGCCCCTGCCTCTGCCTCTGCCCTGTCGCACTGGTTTGGGTGGGTGGGCAGGAAGTTTGAGCCTGGCAGCTTCTGACCAGTGCATGGGGCTCTTCCTCCAGCTCGTGGATACCTTCCACCTGCTCCGCCCACCTGGCACGATGAGCAGCCCCTCAAGTACAAGTTTAAGTATATTTTGTATAAGCAATGAATTCATTGCTTTGTATGTGATGCATATCATTTGCCAGTCACTTTAAACTGTTTAATGTGTCAAAAATATTAAGTCATAGCTTTGTACTGCAAGAAGTTTCACTTATTCTTGCTAATCCTATTCTGTTGTCCAATGTACAGCAGCATCTAGTAATATCACACAAGAACTCATGAGAATTAAAAGCCATATCATCTATTTGCACATGGTAATCAGCTTGCCTATTTGAAGGCACACAACATATGTTGATTTCTCTTTACTGGAATGGATTGTCTTGGCATTTTGTACCTTTAACAGAATATGAAAGGAAAGGCTCATGGCAAACTCCCCTAGACAAGGACAAGGGATGAAGTCAACGGATGAACTTATTGCAAAATCAAAAAAGGAACCCCTAAATCTGAGAGTTTTAGATCCTGTTTTTTGGGTGGCTGGTCCCCATCATGAAATGCACAGCCCTGAGCTAAAAAACTAAGATCTTCATACGAGTGCCTAGATTTAGGAATTTAGTAGCTTTTCTCAAGAAGATATAGATAGAACAGGCTTCATAAAAGCCACGATGCAGAACTGGTAGCTGCCTGGAGTAAAGGACAAGGTTGATTCTTAAATCCCATCCTTCTCCATGCCTTGAGGGCCTTACACGGATCTGGAGGGAAGTGCTTCTTTCAACCCAAAATTATCATAAACAGAACATTACTTTCCAGGGAATATTACCAAAACCTGAGGCCACCACTAGCTGAGCAGAAGTTTTCAGAATTGCAAATCTACGTGTCGGCTACTAAATTCCATGAAATCCTAACCTGGACACTGAAGTCCCAAATTTGTATCTGTACCTTAGGCAGCAGAACACCTACTTTTTGGTGTCCTTCCACCAAGTGGAATCCTCAAGCCTGAGATAAATGTCTAAGCTCCCTATACAAAAGCACAGGAAAAGTTAATATCAGAATGAGCAAGCTGAGCAAAGTGCTGTTTAAACTAGCAGGAAACACTGAAGAACAGAGTAGAGCAGTTAGGCACATAACTCTAGGCCAGGCTGAAGCACTTATTTCCATTTGGGAATCTCAGCTGTGAGTCCTCTCCTAGACTTAGGCACTACTAGATATAGATATAAACCCATCCCAGAATATCTAATAACAGACTGATTAGAACATTATTTGAGAGTTAATAGGCCTGTTTCAAAATAGCTATTCTGCACAACTTGAAGCAGCAACTTGAACTCAACTCTTCCACAGCCCAGGAGACTGCCCTAATCACTGGGAATTTAGATATTCTAGGGCACACTTCTCCTGTTGGAACTGTATAAATAATTAAATATTAATTTAATAGTGATTTAATATGACTATCTTATATCCCAGGTGAGTGGCTTAACCACTGGGCTTTAAGATTAATCTAGCTTTCTCTCTTTGGCCTGATTAATATTTAATTGTTGAGAACAGAACAGATTCAGTAGAATCAATTTCAAGAGCATGACACCAGGAATACCTTCTAGCAGACTGATAGCTATGGCACTCTCCTTGGATATGGGAGACTTCACATAAAGTAAGATCCACAGACTTAGGCATGAAGGAGGGCTCTAACTAGAATGAAAAGTGGTTTTGTGCACACACATCAGCAGAAATGAAGGTACAAAGGGGACCTTTCTAAACAGTGGTAGACAACTAGGCACCCCCTACTTTTTTGTGTGGATCAAGTTCTTTGTTTCTTCACGTGTGGCTGTTTAACATTTCCTACAAAGCTTCCCCGATTCTTTACCTGTATATCATCTACTACAATGCCTCCCTGACCCTGATTCCTGGACACTAACACAATATAAACAACTGGTATCACAGTACAAATGTATTAATGAGGAGTGACAAGCAGGTAAGTAGGTTTGTGCAACAGAAGCATAGCAGTGCCCAATATGATTCACTGCATATGAGGGTTATGGCTGCTTACGCTCTCCAGAATGGCTATGTAGGCTGTACATAGGCCTGTGCAGCATAAACCATAAGTACGCTGCTGCCAAACTTGGCCAGAGACCTAAGCCGAAGCTGCAGAAAACATAACTAAAGCAGAAGGTCTCAAAAGCCTGTGAACAGAAAGCCAGCAGGGCATGAAGGTGGTGAGTATGACTGAATAATGATGGAGGGGTGCTTGAATGTTCCACTTTGCATGCAAGCAAGTTGGGCCCCTTTCTTGATGCATTGCCATGGCAGGCTAGTGTCTGGCCACACCCTGCCCCTGCTCCTGCTAGAGAACAGAGGGGAGGGGCCAGCCCAGCTCACTGGAGCAGAGAACAGAGCTCTGCCCAGCCCAGAGAGCATACTAGGATGCTGGGGAAATCCTATTTAATTTAAACCAGTAAGGGGTCTGGAACTGACATTGCATAAACCAGTTTGAGCCAAATTTCAATCTGATACTACATTCAGCCAGGTTTATCTCAAACCGGTTTCAGTCATTTTCAAACTGGGTTATGGGCACCGAACATCTGTTCTGGTATAGGTTTAAACCAGTTTCTGATCACTTAAACCAGTTTATGTGTAATGTCTGTCCCTAGCCTGAATGTCTGTCTCTAGCCAAAATAATTAACAGTAGTAACTGATGTAGCCAAATATACTGAATGTTATTTTGCTCTAACAGATGTATTTTTGTTAGAATTCTTAGATAAGTTGTAAAAACAAAGCTGTCTTGTCAGATCATAAACTAAGGTTAAAAAGTAACTTAACAGTGTGAAGCAACATTTCACAATGGGATGGGAAAGATGATAAGGAAGCCCCCCTTTTGCTTTCTCAAGGATATAAATCCCAACTCATTGACACCTTCCAGGTCTGCAAGAAATCTGGTTTAATCAAGTTTCAAGTTTCAGTGAGACAAAGACATTTAAATAAAATCAAATCTGAGATTATTCATTAGAATATTAAAGCCAGTCTTCTATAAATATTGGGCATAGGCTGGAGGGAAATTTGGACTTCTACATTTTGGACTTCAAAATCTGGACTTATCCAGAGATCAGCAAACCAACTCAAGTCCCCAGGGGAACAGAAAAGCCTGGCCAGCAGACAAGTTTCTTCCTTGGACCCAAGGTTATGTAAGCAAATACAAATAAGTCTTTGCTACTGCATATCCTAATAACGCTTCTGAGCTATGACTAGGCTGGTCTCACTCTGTATCATCAATCTCACTCTCAACCACAGTTAAAATTAAGTGTAACAGTTAAATCCTGAACATCTGCCTAAAACGTTAATACATACTATGAATTGGTATGCCTTTGTTTAAGCTAAGGTGGCCCAAAGTCTTTAGTTTCATTCTTATATCACACTATTATTTGACTGCTTGTTCAGTTTCAAGGCCATTCCAATTCCACCCATCGGAATGCTTGCTTTGATGGTTTCAATGCTGCTCATCTACACACAGAAGCAAGAAACAGGAACAGAAAGCCTTGCTTGCTTCACTTAGAAAGTATTTACCCAATACAAAGCAGTGCTGTGCAGAAATGTCCAAAGTCTACACAGACTTTGGACAAGTGTGTGACAGGTAGCAAGCTCAAGGCCAACTCTTGAGTCGGCCCACCCACCTGTCTATGGGGCAGTCCGCCCAGTCTCACCTGTTATGACTTTGCTGTTCCTTAACTACTGGTATAATGCGGGAGGCTGCCCATTACATGCCCCGATGCCAGGGGCGCTATCCACAGCTCCGAACCTCCCCTGCACTGTGGCCCATGCCTCGCAGATGGCATCCAGGATGACATTATGCTCCCGGCCTAAAGCCGGGCCAACTTAGTCCTTAGTCACGCCTCATTCATGTGCACACTCATACTGCCCCCCTCTCACTGGGCCCTCTTACACTCCACCACCTTTCACAGCATCTCCAGCCTGCCACACAATACTGTGCCCTCTTCACTCTGCCCTGCTCCCTTGAGCAACCCTGTAGGCCATCAGGCTTATCCGACTCACGTCTCGGGTGGCGACATGCAGTCTGTTGGGCTTCTCCTACAACCCTCACCTGAGTAGTGGCCAGTTGATTCACCACACGGAGGGCTAACTCTGCCCTAGCCCCTCAACAGGCTTCTCATATCCAACAACTTGTTCTTCAGTGGCTTGGCCCATGTGCTTCCCTTCAAGCTGTCCCACAGCCCTACTTAGCAACACCCCCTTGGGCTGCCCTTCAGGCTGACCCTCAGCCCTACTCATCCCTCATCAGGTCCCTCACTACCATCCCCTCCCTGGGGCCTCCGGGGTCTTAGTCCCCTGTGGGGGGTCAAGTGGTCACAGCTGTGCCCGGCCCCACCTGGGGTCTTATACCTCCTGGGCTCAGGTGGCCATAGCCATGCCTGGCCCACTTATATCCACAGTATTGTGGATGCTAGGGTTTAGTGAGGCACCCCAACCCACCTTTCACCGGGGAGGTGAGCGGTCCTGGTATCTGAGTGGGGCTGCCATTCCACCGGCAGTCCCACCAGGCCTCCCTACCATGGCAGGGGGTAGTTTTAGGTCATGTCCAGGATCAGGAGCCTCCAAGCCATCCCCCTAGCTCCTGCCCTCACCTCCAGGATGTTATGAGCCTCAGCTCAGCTGGGTGACATTGCTCCCTCAGCTCCAAACAACATACTCCCGGCTCTGCCTGGCTGGCCTTGGTTTTAAAATTTTAAGATCAGTGTGCTAGATCTTAGCAAGCAAGGTGTTGTGCTCAATCCACTTGGCTCTCCTACGAGTTAATTAGCTGGCAAAGCACCACACAAACACAGGTAGGTCCCTTCTTCCAATTTGGGAACTAGCAAACATAACGATAACCTTGGTATCCCTGCATGGTACTGCTGGGTATCTGAGTAGACCTGAGTAGTTTCATAACCTTGCTGGAAGCAGTATAACTAAGAGAAGAGGGTAGATAGCTGGGACAGTAGACCCAGGTGTCCACTTTTTGTTTTTTGGGGTGGGAGGGGATGGCACAAAATTGCTGCTGCAATTGCCAAGAGCCTAACAGCTGGTGCTCCACTGTGCTCCACTGTGCACTACCACTGTCCAAGGTTCAGAGTTGCCCTGTTACGCCTCTGCTAGGGGATGGCAATAAAAGGTAACAAGAAGGCATTCTGTAGGAAAACATTTCTTGTGTTGAAGGATTTCTCGAATAGCACACCTAAAAGGACAGAATTATGTAACTGCCAAACACTGCTGACAAACACTAATCATCCTTTGACTCCTGTTAAGTTGGCACATTCACACTTTACTACAAATATCAGCAGACACCAGCTAACTCTTGCCAAATGACACCTGTGACTTTAATTGGATATTTTCCTTTTTTATACTTAAAAATGTCAAGAAATTAAATGAAAACTAAACAATCCAACAAATACCTGCTATCACAATTTTGACCCTGAGTTAAAGGTTCAAGTTCGGAAAAGTGCAGAATAACAATTAATACAAACTTAAGTATGCCATGTCTGTGTATATATTATACTATACTGGTAGTTCTCAACTTGCTTAGACATGAGGCATCCCTCGTTAGATTTAAGGCACCCTATGGAATATGTCAGCTTTCTGTTTTTACTCATGTTTTTGACTACAGAAAAATAATAGAATAATTCTTCTATTTCAAAGAACTCAGAAAGACCGCAACAGAGCAGAATGCTTTTAACACTATGGATTCAGATTTGAAATCTCTTGGTTTATCATGTGAATCATACTTGCATACCTGGCAGTGCTAAAATTGTGTGGCATCCCTGATACTTCTGAAAGGATGTGAACACACCCCAGGGTGCTTTGCTACCCTGGTTGAGAACCACTCTGGTAGAGAATCACTGCCTCGGTACCCTTGTTGAGTATACTATTTAAATGAATTACCAAGACGTGTTTATAAGATTGTAAAGATGTTTTATACATACATACATATATTTCTTAACTAAGAAATAAGAATGACAGCACCTTATAATCCTTAGCAATTACAAGGATTTATTTTCTTCACATAAGCTGAAGCACTTGTAGAGGTGGTACTGTTAGCCCCATTTTGCAGAGGAGGAAACTGAAGAACAGTTCAACTGATGACTTGCCCAGGACCACAACTGTGATAAACTGATAGTGCTGTGTTTAGATTCTAATTCTCTTATCTTCCAGCCCCATGTTCTATTTCCTGTAGCAAATTACTTTCACAGTATAGATACTGTGCAAATTTACAGATTGCAAATACTTTACAATCCCATAAAACTGTTTCATTGTGTGTAAAAAGGGACAGTTTTCACATTGCACATTCATCCTTAATTAACTTCTCTTTCCTTTCATTGCTTCCTTGTAACCTTAATGTTGTATGAATATAGGTATTTTTGTGTGTATCCAGCTAATTTAGTGACACTTGTTCAATAGGCTGAAAAGTACTGGGAGAAGGAACCAGTCATTAGGGTATTATCACCTATTAGCAAATTAAACCTACAAATTCTAGCAAATAGCCATTTTTGTTAAAATGGATGCTCACTTTCAGTGTTATGGTATATGAAAATCCCATAAATGCAATGTAATGGGCATATTTTATATGGTAAAAATCCCCAAACTTTAAATTAGATGAACCAGTCAAGCTCCCACTTGAAGGGAAGATTACCATTGATAGTTTAACCTGGAAGAAAAACTGAGTTTCAGTAGTGAGACTAGAAGTATTTTCAAATAATGCAGCATTTAAATGTTACCTGTTGAAATAGGGAAATTTTCTTTGCCATACAAGTTGGGAAATCTTGTTCACATACAGAGCTCTGAGAGAAAGTTCGCCACAGATCTGCATCTTCAAAGCTGAGTGTTTGATACAGTGCTGGAAATGAGATCTGCAAGGCCAACAGTGAGCATGTAAGGGTAAAATATGACTTCTAAGAACACATATTATAATTTTAAAAGTTTGCAAATGTATCTATGGAACCAGTCCTGAAGCTTATGCATGAACCATGTGCTATTTAACCTGAGTCCTAAGGGACAGAAAATCAACATTGGAGATATAGATAGATAGATAGATAGATAGATAGATATTCAATGTATACCTCTTTATCCATGTGTTCCCTTTTCCAACTCCTGGCATTGCATATACAGTCATTTTTCTCTGTATTTTTTTATTCATTGTCCTTCAAGTGCCCATTTCTTTTTTGTTTCTCCATCTTGTTATTTTCTTCACCCATGACTGAGGGTTCCCTCTCTTTTCCTCTTTGTGGCTACTGCTTTCTATCCTGGTTCAGTGGTGACGCGTAGGGGGTGCACGTGAACTTCCTGAGAGTGCCAGTGCACCCCCTGCCAGGCCGCACTCCCTGTTTAGCTGGCGGGCAGAGGGGCAGGCAGGAGCACCAGTGCTCCCCCTGTGAACGCCGGCCGGGGCTGCTAGCAAAAGCAGCCATGCCGCATCCAGAAGTGGCTGTGGGACTTCCAGAAGCGGCGTGGCCACATTTTGGTGAGTGAGATCAGGCACTGGGAGGTCCCCCACCTCGGTCACTGACTGGTGTCAAGTGGAGCACGTGCCAGTCACCCACGTCCTAGTTGCTTTCTTTCTCCCACTGAAGAGAAGAAGATGAAAAATAAGCAATATTGAAGTATGGCTACACTACACCAGAGCTTTGATGGTTCTTAATCTCCCTCCCTTGCCTGTGATCACTCAGCTTTCCTTTCTTACTGGTACTCAATAAACAAAATTTTAAGTATACTTTTGTACCTACTTATATAGAATATAAAACATACATTATATTAAGTCAAAGCCAAAAAGCTCATAATTTACTATGCATAAAGGGTATCCAGTATATAATGTAAGAAATAGGGATGCATTCCCACTTTGGTGAAGGAGGGAGGAAGTAAGGCTGGGACTAGGGAAAGGGCAGGGGAAGGGATGTGGCGTAGTCCCTCGACCACTCCTGGGGCTGCAGCAAGGAGCAAAGCGGAGGGAATGGTAAGTGAGTGCAGGGCACAAGGCGGTAGGGCATGGCTCTTGCTGCTACGTGCACCCTGGAAGGCCTTTGGGCTGGGGGGCTGCGCCGGGCTCTTCCCAGAGGGCGTGTCCCCAGATCTGTGCGCAGGACAAGAGCAGGCTGCTGCTGCAGGCTGGTGCTGGCAGCAGAAGTGGGCTCTTCTCTGAGCTTGGGGTGGGTGACAGCGCTGGGAGGGGGGCTGCCCAAAATTCACCGTAGGCCCCCCAACCTGCCCTTCCAGCACCACCGCCAAGCGCTGGGAAGAGCCCGGTGCTACCGCTGGCCCCAGCTGGCAGCGGCAGCCTGCTCTCATCCCACGTGCAGATCGGGGGGCACGTGCCCCCCCAGGAAGAGCCCGCAGACCTCCCGGGATGCACACAGCAGCAAGAGCCACACCCTCCTGCCCCACACCCGGCACCCACTTATAGTTCCCTCTGCCTTGCTCCCTGCTGCAGCCCTGGGCCTCCGCTTCTCCCCACTCACCCCAGCCCCTGCTGCAGCGGCCCCAGAAGCAACCAACACCAGCTGCCTGCACCATGGCACAGCGCAGCCCAGGAGCTGGGGTGAGTGGGGGCACACGGAACCCCGAGGGGTTCGGGGCACAGTGCAGCCCAGTGGCTGCAAGCAGCTGGCATTGGCCACTCCCAGAGCAGCTGCAGCAGGGGCTGGGGTGAGTGGGGCCCTGGCCACACAGCCCTTCCCCCTCCCCCCCACAGACTTACCTGCTTCGGGGGGTACCAATCGCATAAGAGTGAATTTACCTTGTGTATAACAAATTTAGAGTATAAAAACGGTTATTGCATAAAAGCAAAATTTCATATACAGAACCCGCATAAATCGAGGGAAGCCTGTAGTTCAGGCTGGACCCCAGTAGAGTCAACAGTGTTTCAATCCATGGTGAGCCCACAGCTCAGCACTGCTCAGTGTGTGTGCATACTTCTGATACCCACCACAAAGGGTCCATGTGCTAATTAGCCCCCACTCATGATTGCAACCAGGTGCACTTTTCATGAATCCTCGGATCCTTCAAAAATTATATGCAAATCAGATGCAAGGCAACCTGGTCTGGCTCCACCTCATGGAGGGCAGGGCCACACTAATCATATGTGACAGGCTGAGAGAGGAGGCAACAGAGGGATTCTAGGTGAACTGTTTGGGGCCCTGTTTGGGCCAGATGTTTGCCAGACATTTAAGGCTGGTGAAGAAACAGCATTCATTGGAAATGGGAAAGAAAAGCACATCTCAGATGTGGAGTAAAGAGGAAGTCAGAATGTATGTAGTGTAGTGGCTCACTAGGACTTGAAAAATTCGGCACTGAAAAAGACCACGTGCAATGAATACTAGCTTATATTTTATTCAGATGGGTTATACTACCATTTTATTATGAAAGTTTCCCAGCTTTATGTTTACCCTATATGGGGCATGTGTCCTATAGTCAGGCTCACTGTTTGTTGTATTTAAATCAACATCATAATTGTTTTCAAAAAGTGAATACATGATGCTTTTGGCACCAGTTTTATGATATACCATGTATTTAATGAGGTTTCCTTGTATGCAATCATAGGACTGAGGGGCTGTTTTCCCCATACTGATTGGGGGGAAACCTTATTTTGTGTTTGAGTAAATATGTTAGTTACACAACTAATGTTTCATGGTAGACAAACTGTAAGATGCTTGTGAAAATGTGCCTTTACTTTATATGAATTTGTTTATTAAAAATACTTCATAATGTTTCTTCTTCCCACAATGGTTATTTTCCTGTCCAGAGGAAAAGAAATGCTGCACTCTGAATAGTCTCATAACATTTTGCAATCCAAATACAACAGTAAAAACTTCATTCATATGCATTAAAATTCATCATTATCTTGGAAACCGATGTGAAATACTGAGTACTGAAATGGCTTAGAACAATGAGGACTGAATGAAAATAATACTTTCTGGGAGCACTTTCAACTGAGCATATCTTAGACTATAGTTTTTTGAAGAGTTTAAAATAGCAAAACCCTGTCCTGACGACAAGTATATAGTTTATTTTCAAGTCTAAATTAATACTTACAAATAAATCAAGCTCTTTTGAAATGGAATTTAACATATCACACAGATTTTACCTTCAGAGATGCTACTGCCCAAGCTCGTTCCTGTTCTATCCAAGAGGGAATCTGGTCACGAATATTTCTTTGTGAATCCTTTATAAAACAAAATAATTTAAATCTATTATACATATATTTGTGAAACTCAAACCTCCAAAGTGTTTAACCAAGACTGCAAAATATAAATCGATATTAAAACATTATTAGTACTACTTCCATGAACCTTTCCATCATTGTCTATTTGTAATCTTAAAATGGAATAGTAATGCTTGTTTATTATTGCTATTTTATAGTTACTACTGTTTGCTAAAATCATATAAAATATGATACTTTATCATGCCCCCTTCATCTTCACTACAGACAAGTAATTCTGAAGTTCTGCAAACTAATTTTTAGTATTAAACTTTACAGGAATGTCTTATTGCTCTATTCAATCTTTTTTATAATGCCCACTGCCCCTTAGGAAGCCAGTGTAGAAGAATCTAAAGGACATCGATCTCAACTTAAGGCACACTGGAAGACAGGCCATTCTGACAAAGCAAACCATCAAGTTAAATATTTTCCAGTCTGGATCCTGATCTTTTTCCCAAATACCTAAGGTACAAGGAGCTATATGAAAAAAAATAACCAAAAATGAGAAAGACGTAATATAGAACAAACTCTTACTCTAGTGTAAAACAAGAGTATACTTTAAATATTTTGAGCTATTTTCCTCCTAAAGGATGGTTCTACAAAATAAAAAAACCAAGACCGTAATGATCTACAAAAGTGTGGATTGAGCAGGTAACATTACAAAAATCTTCTGTAGGATCTTAGGTGTGTAAAAGGGATTCTAACCCCTTCTTGGACTAACACATTATACATGTACAAACTTCAGCACTGCAGTGCAATTCACTTGGTTGTAAATCACGTAGAAGCTTGTGAACTCAAACGTTTAGAGCAAAAGAAAACTAGCAAGCATGATGTTTAACTAAATTAAATCTCAGTGTCTTGTCCAGAAGATGACCTTCAATTTGAGAAAGAAAAATAATTTCCTGTAATATATGGGAAAATTAATATTTGTAATAAATAATTCTGAAGTTGGACCGTCAGATTTTACAAGCATCCACTCTGGATATTTTTCTTGTGGTTGCAGTAAGGAACAAGCCATCATGGAACTAGCAGCTATTGTTTTCAAGTGGTTAGTTATAAGGGTTTCTAACCCTATGAAAAAAGTTCCAAACAGGAAATGCAGTTTTGATTATGACAGATGATCTGACCAGGAAACTTCAATGTCAGAGACTTCTATGAGTCCTTGCTTAAGATATTTTGATCTGCAAAATGAAAAGTGCTGGTTGGAGTTCAGAGACTAAGTCCTTCTCTAACAATCCCAAAAGAATTATTAATGCCTGTTTTCCTGGAACTGACCTTTTTGTCTTGAGACACATTGGAAAAGGTATCATCCAAACTCCTTCATGGAATAAAGTGATGAAAAATAACACACTTCTATTGTTAAAGAATACATCATCCTATTCAGCTCTTGTCATTAGGCTTATTCTTGATTTCCATGGTCATCTTGTTGTGCTCTTAAACAAGGGAGTACTACTCTCTCAGACGATACTGAAAAGCTGAGCTCCTAGGGTACCTATACAAGAACAAGGAGGCTACTCTGACATTCTGTAATTCTAATGCACAGGAGCAGACTCAGCTGAGTCTGCTGGAGTGTGGCAATTGCTGCGCTCCAGCAGCCTCCCATGTCTCGTGTATCAGTGTCCCCATATTTAAAAATGGCAGTGCAGGCGTTTTATGCAAAGCTTGTCAATAAAGTGTCCCCACCACCATTTTGAAGCATGGGGATGCCGATACATATATGCATACCAGCCCAGCCCCTGGCTTCTTTACTTTTCATTCCATCCAGGAAGAGCACACACCAACTGCAGAAACTTCCTTAGCCTGACAAAGGGTTTTTGAACCCGAAAGCTTGCTTAAAAATTGGTCTAATAAAAGATATCAGATTCACTCAAACAACTTTGTCTTGTTAGGCGATTACATTTGGTTTGCTGAATCCAAGGGCAGATGTTGACAAATAAACCCTTACAAGATGTGTTACTGGAAAAATATAATTCAATTAATTAATAATGGCTTCTCTCTACCTCTATGATTTCTAAGAAAGTATCCTCACTAATATAGCATCTCTTTTTCTTTAATCCACTTTATTTACCTGGTCCAACCATGCTCATCGGGTGGGACTTACCACAATTTCCCATTTGCACAAAAAAGTCTTCCCCACAGTCGGAGGGCTGTAAGAATATTATTCAAGCTGCACTAAAGCTTAGCTTCAAAAACAAAGATTGAAATGAATACGACGGAACAGTTCTGTCACTGCCAATGTGAGGAAAATATCTGAGATCAGAGCTAAAAGAATATGTCAAAATTGAATATGAATTTGATCTGAACAAAAGATAGGTATAGTGAAAAGTGAGGTGCTGGGAAGAGGCCAGGATCCAGTCATACTTATTTAAAAAATGGGTATATTCAAAACAGAAAAATTTACATTTGGAAAATTTACTATACTCACAAAGAAAAAGAAAACTTGTACCCTGTGCTCTCCTCTGAAAGTAGACAATTGTTTACCATATTTAAAAGTTTTACAATATTTAAATTACAATTTGAAAGTTGAATTATATAAAAGCAGGAAACAAAATTGTACAATGATAGTTCAAGCATCTGTATTCAATAAAAGAATCCTTATTTCAGAATACATATATATTTAGCTTACTGATTTTCTTAAAGTATCTCCAATGATTACACCAGTGAAAGTATCCCATTCCTATGGGGAAAAATGAAAAAAGGCATCTTAAAAACATAAATATTATATACAGTAACGTATGCAGTGTAGAGGGAATACAGAGGAGAAAAATTAAAATGAAGGCTATGATTTCGAAAGAAGCCTAAGGAATTTTGCACCTATCTCCTCACATCCTATTGACTTGAGTGCTTAGGTCTATTTGTTAACTGCGAACTAAGTGACTAAAGACATTATTTTTTGAGAAAAGGTATAAAAGGCAAAAAAGTATAACTTAGCCAAGAAAAGTATCAAGAACTCAGCAGGAGTTCAAAAACTACTGGATATTTATATGAATAACATGATCATCAAAAAGCTTGAAAACAAAAATAATAATTAAAAGCCTCCCACGGTTATGGAAGGAATACAAAACCTTATGCTTCAGTACCTAAGCCATCTAAAAGTTTCCTGGGTAGGATTATCCAATGAGGGCTAGATTTTCAGAGGCATTTAGTCATCTAAAAATGCACTGAAGTCAGTGGAAGTCAGGTGTACAGCCAGCTCAGACAGTTCTGTAAATGCCACTAAGTACCTGTCTTCATTTTAGGTACCTAAATACCTTTGAAAATCAGCCCTTAACTGACTGCTTCAGGCTTTCTAGCTCTTCATAATCATGCACCAAGTACTAGGCAAAGTTCTTAAAACATGCAAATACACAGGAATAAACAGATTATATACTATGGCACAGTGTAATACAGTACAAAGAATATTCTGGTCAACAAAGAAAAGGAAAATATTTATGAAACATCTAATGATGATCTCTCTTAAACCACGGTATGCACATCCAGGAAAAGTGATGTGTGTCATTTTAACAGGGACAATTGTATTAAAAAAATATATGTTGTATGGAGCAAGCCTGTATTTGGAGGGGGGGAAAGTAAATCACGAGGTGGGGAAAGTAAATTTAACATATACATGCATACACATACACACACTTTATACAACATACTTATGGACACAAAGAGGTTCTCTTGTTTAAGGAAAATAATATTTCTCCAACCTTAAGTAAATCTGTACCTCCACCAGGCCTCTATCCATTATTCAACTAAAAATCTAAAAGCCAGCAATATAACAGTTTTGTGGCTCTATCAGTCTCCAAAGCCTCGACACCACCACATCTTTTCTAAGATTCTTAACATTCCTTTGTCTTAGCGCTCAGAAACAAATTTATTAAATAGCCATTCAAATATTAAAATAAATGTAAATTATAAAAATGAGGTTAGTACACAAGAACATAAAGGCTATTCAGTCCAAAAATGGGGAAAATGGGACTGTTTATTGGAAGAAAATCAATATAGAAATCCATGTAAAC